ATATTTAACGGAAGAATGACGATAGAGTACAGATGTAGATCTAGCACGTACGTACGTACGTTCGTAGTACACGTACAAGCGTAAAGCTATGTGTACGTAAGTACGTACGTACGTACCTCAAAAAGTAACAAAAAAAAAAAAAAAAAAAAAGGTGGCTAAATACAGCCAAGTGTCAATGTTTGTCAATGTTTGTTAGTGACGCCTTCAATAATAATATAAACCTTTGTACGTACGTGCGTTCATACGTATTTACGAACGTACAAGGGATTTTTAAAGTTACGTCATGAAATACTTGTTTGTTAACAGAACCTTAGCTCAAGAATATACCATTTTTATAACATAACCAATTATGGAAATTATGGAATCCTTTACGTAAAATTTAATTGAAACATTTATTACAATAAATAAATTATCGGGCTGTCGGGTGTAACGTCCATCTCTGTGCATAAACCGGGTTTACTTGTTTCTGCAAGTGATACAAACCCAAAGAAGAAGGTCACGACATAGGATTAGGATCGGGGACATATATCTCAATATATGATTAATAAAAAAATGGCTCCTTGGGCAAACTTTGAACTATCTACGATTTTTTGTGAAGTCTTTGATCTCGTGTGTGTGTACATATGTACGTACCTACGTACCTGATTTTATCTACATAATATAGATTTACTTTTCAGAAATGAGCGTACACACATGTACGTACGTACGTACGTACTTGACTTACGTACGTACGTATTTGAATCTGAATACATATTATTTACTAAACATATTATTTGCTAGAGCTAGTGCTTTTTTAGTCTGTTCAATTATTTATTGCTAATACTGACATCTCAAAGAACTATTCTAAAAATTATTTAGTGATTATAATGATTTTACAGTAAACTCTTACGTACGTACATATATGTATGTTGTTACGCTTTTATATGGTGTCCAATGGGACTTTAACCTTGACCGAACTGTTGAAATTTGTCATACATATCCTTAGATGAGGTCTGCAAAACGCATTACAAATTGCTCACACAGCTTACATAATGTGACAAAAAAGATGTAATCTTTAGCTGATCAAGGAATAGTTTAATAATTTATAACGAACTTTAAACAATTAAATAAATACTTTTGTTCTTTCTCAAAACTTATTCAAACTTATTAAATTTACTGAAAAAATATTTATCGAACATTCATTCATATGAACAAAAAAATAATTACACAATGTGTTTAAATATGAAGCAGATGATTCTTTTGAATCTTCCAACTGATTGTCTCGTGGAAATTCTAGGCCATCTTAAATATGATACCTCTTCTTTATATTCTTGTATTTTAGTTAACCGTTTATGGTGTAAATTATCCATTCCTTTACTTTGGTGTAGCCCATTCGAATTTACAAGACACAACAACAAATCTGACCTTATTATTGAAACTTATGTATCTTGTTTTTCTGATGATGAGAAAAAACTATTCTACGACAATATCTTTTTAATTCCGGATTTTCAAAAACCTGCTTTCAATTATCCAATATATCTTCAAAATCTGGATACACCTACTTTTGAAAATGCTGTTAGAGCTTGGTTTTATGAAATTTGTAATAATTATGCTCCTAAATCAAGTGAATTCTCTTTATCTACTTTCAGTACTTGCAAAAAAATAATTGCTCACATGTTATTCAAGCGTTCAATTGGATTTAGAGCACTCAAGATGAGTAGAGATGAACAAGATCACTCCTTTTATTTTGATATCATTGCAAATTCTGGAATTCATTATAGATTAGCAAAATTACAAAGACTCGAATTATGTTACAATGTTACAAGAAATAATGATGCAAAATTTATAGTTGATGGTTTAATCAATCTTTTTGCTACTTTAACTCGTTACGTTCATAATCTTGATCATATATCTTTTATATTTGGAACAGAAAGTCCTACACTTCAATTCAATGTGGCTACTGCTTTTGCTAATTTAATCAAATCACAAAAAAATTTACAATCTTTGGAATTATACAAATTTTGGGATCATTCAACTGCTGATGATATTTATTCTGCTTTAAATACTCAATCTAAATCTTTAACATATTTAAAGATTCTTGGGGCAAAAGATTTTGTTCAAATGTTACCTTTTCTGGCAAATTGTTGTAGATTAAAAGCTTTATATATTACACCTTCAATAATATATAATAATTCAGATTCAATAACTTGTAGAGAAATTCCTTTAAAAAATTTATATTTTCATCATTACACAGAACCAAAAATGATTACTAGTACAATGATTCCAATTTTACGAATGTCAAGTAGAACATTAAGAACATTAACTTTACAACGTGTAAATTTAGAACAATTAAGTATAATCGAAAGATATTGTCAATTCTTAAAAACTTTAACCCTATCAATATCTTGTTCTCAATTACCAAGATTTTGTCGAATAATATCAAAAATGGAATTAGAATCATTAACATTAAAAAAAGTTTTAGATGATTTAACTTTTGATATTACTTCAATTCAAGATTTGGCTTTATCAATTCCAAAAACTTTAAAAAATTTCGGTATTGGATTTAAAATGTCACCTCAAACTCTTGAATTATTTCTTAGAGAATGTCGTGCTACTTTAGTAGTATTGGATTTATATTATTATTTTAATATGAGTGATGATCCTTACCTGGAAGTTTTTATTCAATATGCTAAAGAAAATAATTCTTTTAAACGATTAAACTTTGAAGAAACTCCTTCGGCACGTTTGAAAAGTGTTTTGGATAAACCTTCAAAATTATTAGAGTATGCTATGAATATTATTTCGATTAAAAAATTTAAATTTGGTGCAAACCCTTCTGATGGTATTTATTATATATAAATTTTTATAATCTTTTGTATCTAATACTCTTGTGTCTAACGATTTTTTTTTCTCACAAATAGATATATGAATAGATATATGAATAGATATATGAATAGATATATGAATAGATATATGTTGATATATGTTGAAATATGTTAAAATATGCATATCTATCATTCATCACTTTGTATAATTAAACTTATAGTATCTGAAATTGGGTTACGACCGCAAATAATTTATGTTTCCGTAACTAAAATCTGAGGTCCCACAAATGAATTTTGTGAATTTGCATATAAATAAATATATTCATATGCGTAACTAAATTCATATAATCCGCAAGATTTCAGACACTGAGTATAAACCATTGTACCTTTTACTTTTCAGTTTATCTTTCAATTGATTTGAATGTAATAGACATTTTCTTATAAAATATTTTACTATATCTTGTACTATTTTTTTTTTTTTTTTTTTTTTGTGTATTGTATAACTTAAACAATTTGCCAATGCCAATTTGTAAATTTGTAATTTGCAAAGAAAAAAAAAAACGAAATTAAAAATAAAAATAAAAATGAAGTTAGAATAAATCGTTGATTATAAAAATTATTAAAAATTTCGACTATTCCGGTTCTCCATTGTTAAAATCTAGCGCGTTTGTTGATTATAATATTTTAATAATAATAATAATAGTAATAATAATAATAATAATAATAATAATAATAATAATAGTAATAATAATAATAATAATAGTTTCATAAGGATTAGTCGTGATTAAAAAATAGCAAACCAAAATGCAATCTATATTTATACTAATTGATGAATTTAAAGGTTTAGAAACTTTAATTACAAAATAATGTGAAAATAAATCAAATTAGTATCAAATTAGTATCAAATCAGTATCGAATTAGTATCGAATTAGTATCAAATTAGTATCAAAATAGTGTGAAATAAAATCAAATTAGTGTAGACGATATTATTTATCATCAGTTTTTTTTTTTTTAATGATTTCTTTTTGATAACGCATACATTCAACGTACGTAATATTAAATTATGATTAATATTAAATTATTATCAAGATTAGACTGAAGTACAGTATCATTCATTTATAATGGCTAATGAATATAGGATATTTCATGTGTTTATTGAGTTAAAAAAAAATCTTAAAAAAGCTTAGTTATTTTATCGTTAATGATATATAGCATATAATAATTACAAAGAATAACTTAAAAAAAAAAATTCTTTTGAATAATAATTTACCATAAACCAAAAAAAAAAAACACTCTCCTACTCCAACGTCTATTTAAATCACACGACAACGAAAAAAATAATAAAAACGTGGATTATTTGCGTTTGATGATAACTATGCCAATAAAGCTATTCGAACAAGCGTTAAAACAAGAGAGAATTTGTACTGTAATTGTACTAAAAAATTTGTATGAATTTCTCTTAAAATGGTTTGGATGACATGTGAACAACAAAAAAATAATAATATATAAAGAAATCATTCGTTTTTTGGAGAACGATCCTACTTGAATGAAATGAAATGGCAAGATTATTTAAAAGAGTAGGATGTAATCACGAAAAACAAAAAAAAAAAATAAGATAAATTATAATCAATAATAATCAATAATAATCAATAATCTATTGATTCAAAATAACGAATTTTTACGCGACGAAGATGAAGATGACGTTCCATCGTAATTTGTCGACACTCCCGAGTTATACCCATAACTATAATTTCGTGTGGGTGTGTAACGCGAATTGCTCGAAGGAAAATCGATTCCACCAACACTAAATAACGGAGGAGATAATAATTGATTGTTGCTACTATTATTAAGACTATTAAGACTATTATTAAGACTATTATTAAGAGATGTTGATGTCGATTTAGCTGACATGTTGACTATACAAGGGCATAATTTTCTGAAATCATATGTTGCACTTAATGGACTGCAATTACAATTACAATTAGAAGTAATTGGTGATTGAACTGGTGTCATATATGAGGTCGTAGTAGCAACCATCTTAGAGGTCATATCATTCCGAGGAGCTGATAAAATCCTTGAGACATCGGTATTTATAGAAAAAGGAACTCGTTTAGGTGTTGGTTTAACCAATACTGGTTGTAATCCTGGTTGTAGTACTGGTTGTAATCCTGCTGGTTGTAATCCTGCTGGTTGTAATCCTGGTTGTAGTCCTGGTTGTAATCCTGGTTGTAATCCTGGTTGTAACCCTGGTTGTAAAGCGTTTGACAACGAACCAGTAGTGTTGGTGGTATTAAAAGTATTAGAAATTGATGCATGATTAAGAATCGCATTAATCGATGTTACAGGCACGTGTGAATGCGACGAAGACGATGGAGAATCTTGACTCTGAGTCGATTGTGATTGCTGTAAAGAATTTTGTGAAGAAGAATGGTTCGTAACACGACGAGATTTCTCTCCCGACAAAGATCTCGTTGTAGATGATTGTTGTAATTGTCTACGACCAAATGTTTGAACAAAATTCATTCGTAATAATTGAGGTCTAAATGAAGGTCCATTATTTTTAGCGAATTCTGTTTTCTTACGTAAAGAAAATGCCGAGGTCGTATGTTGAGTGATACGTTCCTTATTAGTAAGGACGGGAAGCCAAAGAAGTGCTGTGGGCGGATGAATAAAAGTTTCTTCTCCACTTCCAGGAATACCTTCAGTACAAACACAATAATTTCCCATGAAATAAACCGGTCGAAAATTGTTGCGTTTTCGAGTAGCGGAAGAGGATAAATTGGTTGAATCATCAGTTGAGTTACGATTTTGCATAAATTTCTTTAAATCATCAATTAAATTAATTAGATTTCTGTACATTTTTTTAACTTTTTTATCACTAGAACTTTTTAACGATCTGGAATTTTGTTCAGCTGTTAAAAGACTTCTAATTATATCTAAAGGGTCATTTGAATTTGTAATTTGTTTACAGAAATCTAACATCATTAAATTTTCATGATGATTAGCATTATAAGATCCGTTCGCTTCTAACGATGCTCCAATTACCGATAATAATTTAGGTAATCTATCAACTTCCCGTTGAACTATATCACGAATATCTTGATTATTAAGAACATTATGTTCAAAACATTTTAGTTGAATGCGATAAAGTGATCTCGAACAAAGTAACATTAAAGCAAAATCATGTCGTTCAGGAGAAATTTCATCAAAATCTATCAAACATGTTGGTTTTAATGGGTACATGGTTTCTTGCTTTAGTCTTATTGTGTATGTATTCTTAGCTCATAATAATA